GGATGCGTTCGGCGCTGCCCGGGGTAGTGCACCAACGCGTGGCTCCAGCAGTCCTAGGAGTGAACCCCAGCCCGGAAAACCGAATTACTGAATCCCAGCCCGCTTCTTTCAGCTGCCCCCAAACTTTTGCGCATAGGGACTGCAGAAACACAGAATTAATATACACGGCCAGGATCTAGATCCATGTCTGAAAGCATCCCTCTTCCCCTTATTTTGCTTGAGTGCTTCAAAAACTATCTCTGCTCATTTTCTTTTTTGAAGCTCTTTAGCTCCAATCTCGTAAGCAGTTACAGATGTGTTTATCTGTGGCGTTCAGTCCTGTGGCATCTACAGCAATATATGCTGTATGAGAAGTTAAATCCGTACATAACAATTTGCAGAATAAGGGCCTTATTTTTCATAGTGAAGAAAAAAGAATAAGAAGTCCTACACTTTTTTCATAAGCAAAGCAAATCTGCAGAGTTTCATGAAATGTGATATATTAGCCATTTTACTTCCCAAAGGAATGCCTGATCTCTGTTTTCCCTGTATCTACTACATCTTCTAGAAATGTTATCTGACTTTGCATGCTGTTGCAGAATACAAATGATCATTTACTGACGCTCAAACCAGTTTAAGGAATACCAGTTCAAGGATTTTACCAGTTTCTTTATATATTCCTTATATTTCCTTATATATTTCTATATAAGGATTATACATACATCTGCTCTCCCTGGAAGGAATCGAGCCTTTGTTTCTATCTTGCAGCACAGTCTAACAAAAGCTTGTAATGTTAACTATTCTTAATTATAAGTGTGGTGATACGCTTCCTAATTATGTTTGTATGTGCTAGGAGGGCTGAGACTTTGCTCTGTAACTAGTGTTCCCACATATTTACTGAGGCGTTATTTGGCTGCCCACCTGTAACAACAGGCCAGAGAACAGAAACATTTTATTATCTGAAAATAGCCTTCTTTATTTGTTGACTGTAGTTCAAGGCAGAAAGGTAGAAAACTCTTGCTATGTGATTTGGAAAAAAAAAAAAGAAACTGACACGGCAAAATAACATCCAAAGCTACAGGTTTAAAATGTCAGTTTCTATGTTTCATTAAAGCCTTTAAAAGTGGGCACGGAAGAACTGCCTGAGTGCTTTTAAGATTCTGTATGCGGGCTGTCAGTATCAGGGATGAGTAAAATAGGTAGTGTTTCCCTCTATCGCTTTCTGCAACGGTTTTTAAGTTATGTTTGTTCCCATCAGCAGCGCAGGGAGACATTCAAGCAAAGATGTGCTTCAAAAGTAGAAGTAGCCTGGAATACGATGGAACGGTTTGAGTGTCATTTATAAATACTTTTAGTTTCTGATCACATTTTTCATTAAACACAATTGAATAGTTACGAGTTTCACAGGTTGAGGTTCTTGTGAAGCCTTCTCAGAACAGTAGTGAGTGCCAGGCGGTTGGGCTAACCAGCTCTGCCACTTTTAAAGAGGGATGTACAGCTGCGTGTGACAGCACAGGAGCATCGTTCTGGCCTTCTCGGTGTACAAATAACAAATACATAACTCTCCAGGCTGAGATCTTCCAAAACCAGCTGAGGGAGTCAGTCACACAACTCAGCTTTGACAATGTTAGTCTATAAATTGAGGGCCCAGTGTCGGAGAGGGTATGTAAAAGATTTAAGGTGCATGCTAGGAAGAAGCCATGAGGCTAATTCCTTTTATGCCAAGTCGAAATAGCACAGTCAAAATATTGGAAAAGGCATGAGTGATGGGAGTTAAGGCTGTTTATATTCACCGCCAACTTTGGTCCCATTACTCAAACAAAGCACTGAGAGGTTTGCAGCCCCCCTCCGTCTCTCTTTAGGCTTCTTGTCAGTCTGGAGACTTACAATAAGAAGGTGTTGCTAATTACTGTGTTAAAGAGCTCAGGTGCCTTGACTCATCCATCATTCCAAGACTGTACATTACTAGATTAACCTCTTCTTCATATTAGTAATGATGGGTTTCTACAATGTAGCTGGAGCAGATACAGGTGAAGGGAGGTATTAACTTATTAATTTGTTCTCAAATGCTGCTTTCTGCAAGTAGTTCTGTGTACAGATTGTTATATATAACAATTTTGATGAGAAATTACAAAGGCGTGGGGCTTCTGAGAAACAATTTCTGTGCATCTAGGGAAAAATCCTGTTTTTTCATTTGACAATAGTTACAAGCGTAGACATGGATTTTCATTTCCTCTAAAGCTCACAACTCCTTTGGTCTTTCTGCAAAGACTGTTGGAAAATACATCAGATCATGGATCATTTTTTCAGCAAAATCCTGATAATGATTCCCAGTTGTTCAAAACTTCCCCTAGGCCATCAACATCTTGTATGCAATCTCATTTTATGAGCTTATAGGATAGGGTTTCAGTTACTCATACAAAATAAAAGAGCATGTCTCACCTTAACTGAATTGCTGTGGAGATGGCCCTCCCTAGACAAGTATCAGAAGAAACGTGGATAAACTTCAGGCAGCACAGTTTCCAATTCTACACCAGCCTGTACTGTGGCCAGCAAAGAGCTGATGAGGGACCCCCATAAAGCTGTGGTTTATGTTACGTTAAGGTTGCACACAAACACCTCTCAGTATTCACACTGGTGCTTTACAGTCTTGGAAGAAAAGCTCTATAAATGAGCAACTGTATTGTATATCATGCAGCTGGGTACAGTTCATCCAGATCGGCACATCACGGTTTTCTGAGGCTGCCTAACTTTTTCAGCTTTTTAACATGAGCAATCCATCCTTCATTCATCTGAGTCTATCAAAGGTTTACAGACAGACTTTATCATACTGACCCCACTCCCACAAAAGCACCATAGTAAAGGGCTCAGAAAATGTCCTCCTGTGCAAAGCCTAGAAACAACTGGAACTTATACAGGGAAGAATTACAGGGGGATAAGACCGCATCAGCCTACATCAGTCAGTGCTCCACTGACCCTTTCAGCCTCAGTCAGGCATTTCTGTGGTCATAGTTGGATTCCTCTTGTGTGCTTCAAAGTCAAGGATACCTATAGCTCTTAATCCCTTCTGTTGAAGTGCTAAAATGGACTACACTTCATAGCCTACTAACGTGTTGGTCAAAACACATCAAGAAGGTGACCTCCCAACGTATTATGAACTCTTCACTTCCCACAGACCCAGCTTCTGCATGGCTTTTACTTACTGCTGTCTTTGGGACCAAGTGGTGG